AGAAGACTGGAATGAAGGCTTGCATAGCAGACCCAACGGGACATGGGACAAGCCACTGCAACTACCAGCCCCAGTCTCCTCCTCTGTAAACCAAACAAAGGAATTGCCGAGGTCTCTGTCAACGCCACAGTTTGACCCAGCAGAGAATAACACATGGCACTAGGCATCTTATTTCTTTTAACTTCCAGTCCCTAAAATAATCTTATACTATTTATCGTTTATAAGAATGGGCATATGACAATTTTAATAAAGTGAGTGTTTAGAAAGGATGTATTCAAGTGTTGAAGTATGTGTATAGATGTGTGTGCACAACATGAACAAGTCAATCAATCTTATCTCAGACATCAGTGACAGCTGCCAGATTTGCAGGCCCAAGGTGTTAGGAGAATATAGTCAACACGTTTCAGTGATTGGAATCACTTCATGGGATATTTTTACCCAGAAGATTTCAAGATTTTTCTATGTCTGTCTGTCTGTCTCCTTCTGTCTCTGTCTCTCTGACATACACACACACACACTCACACACACACACACAACCTAGGGAAATGTACAATAAAACCTGATTACAAAAAACTTCTATGATTTCCTTCAATTGAATATTTTTTTAGAGAAACAGACTATCAGTAGTCCTCATTCCACTCTAACCGATATAATGTTCTTGAAGAAAAACAGATGAAGGGAAACACAGGTCCAACTTTTACTGAGAGGAAATACTAACAACAGAAAGGAAGGCTCACACACTTTGCAGGGATCTGTTCTGTTTCACCTTCCTAAGCACTGGTGTCCATTCCATGTTTGTTGAATTGAATCAGAAGAAAATAATGACGCTTATCATTTCAGAAAAAAAGGTGTTGCCAAAATAAAAACGTTAAAGAGTTATGACCTTGGAAGAATTAATTTATTTTTGTAGAAGAACAGTGAGAATCAAGTAATCCATTTGATTGGTTCTTGAATTTAAAATTCAATTTTCAGAAAAGGAAAGCTAACACATACCCTGCAGAATTAGGGAAACAAAGAAGGATCTTGGGTCATGATTTGTTCTTTCTTTCTAAGAAGAAAGGTAGAAAGATGAGGTAGAAATTCTCATTTCACAGAGTCCAAGGAAGATCATTCATTTTTTACCTGACACCAATTTCTTCTACAAATATCAATATTTAAGAAGCTTTATCCATCTAGTAGAAATGGCATTTTTTTCTTAGCCCACAATAAAGACATAAAGAGAGAGGCTAGCCACAAATTGTAAAATTTTTGAGAATTCTGGTTTTTGGAGAGTTCTCCTAATATTTAAAATGGATCCACTCCCTTTCTTCATTGCACATTGATTGTGAAGTTAAACAAGCAGTACTTCATTAGTTCTACTTTTGGGCATAACACCCTTAAGTCGTGGGACTATTTATAGGGAACAGGGTTTGTAGACACTTCCCCAGACCTTCTATCCAGCAAAGGATACAGGTGACTTTAATGAGAAGGAAATTAAAAAACACCAAACCAACACAGATATTCAAGGTTTCTAAGTTTAAAGAGATCAATTATTTGTATTTTTCCTACTTAATTCAATGATCCCTTGAGAACAGCTACTATCTTGGGCTAAAAGGTCAAGTCAGAGCATTTGAATTCTAATCAACTGTCAGAGTTCTCCTGCTTATACACTGAAGTATCTCAGGAATGATAAGAGAGTGTTTGCTTTAAGAAATAATTAGCCAGAATATTCATTTCATAGTGAGTCCATATTTCGGGATACTATAAATTCTAAATTAGGTCTGAAATGAAGATGTGTTCATTCTTGGCAAGATTCCTTTCTAATTTACAAAGATTGAAAAGAGCAATTTTGGTTTTTATTTGATTCCCAATGTAGCAGAGTCGTGACAGTTTTCCTCAGCTCTGCGACATACATTTTAGCTGGTTCTAATGAAGACAAATTCCTCTCAATCATGAGTGCCCCATCCATTAAGTGAGACAGATGGCAGCCTTGCTATATTTTGCTAGATCCAGTCTCTTGAAGCTTGCTGCCCCTTTTCTTTAGAAAATAGCAGGGCTTATTTTTCTGAAGGAAAAAAGAAAGAAGTCAGTATTTTGCTAAGGCAAGATGTCAAGTTATCTTCAAAACAAGTGAACCAACAACCTCTCAGATTTGGAGTTGGTTGATGCTTTTGTTTCAGGGACACATACGTTCATATTATATGGCAAGTGGAAGGCTAAGATACTTGGGGACATGCTGGCTTAGAGCTTTTCCTAAAAGAGATGTTTGAGATTTCTCTGCTGTAGACTGTAAGGCACCCCATGTCCCCTGGGAATTCCCTAGCCACCTCCCAGACCCTTGTAATTCCCCCGCTTAACTTTTGCTGCTTTGAAACATGAGTGGAAGCGGAAATAGACATAAGGTAAACTGCAGAGCATCCCAACTGCCTGTGGCTCCACAGAGTGTTAGCAGGAGACACTTAAGAAAAGGTAGGTGATTGACACAAGATAGAAGACAGCCTGGGGTAGAGTCGGCCAAGGTTTACAAGACACTGTCAAGGTCATTCTAAGAGAAAAAAAACCCCATTGGTTTTAACTTTCCCCTTCTGCACGCCAGTCAGTCCCAGGGGCTCATGGGCAGTGGATGTCCTGTCTTCAGCTTTACCAGAACCACTTGTGAGGAGAGCACTTGAACCTGGACCTGCACCATCTCAGGATGCTGCGAGAGGTTCTGGCAAATGAGCACAGATAGTTCATTCTCTTCCTCTGACCACACACACTTCCATATGGAGAAGCCAAGACTTGGTGAGAAAGTGGATATACTGACTGTGTCTTTGTTGAAAGCCCTACTGCATGATACACAGTGCAGAGTGGATTCCCTAAAACAGAGGCAAACGCTGCAAGAACTGGAAACACTCTCTTTAAGAAGCAGCACGTGACAAGTGATAGTACTGGGTCAGAATCACCCAGATCCCGGGGACTGCCCATGATGACCACACAGTTCTACACTCTTTTCTTCCCTTTTTCTTAAGTAAGCAGGGCCTCTAAAGTGTAGCACAGAAGAGGAGAGGAGTGGAGGAGAAACGTGGGCAAGAGAGGAAGTGGAAGATCTATCTAACTTGTTTTTGATGAATGGCAAATGTTCTGGAACTTCAGAATATCATTATGGAGTCCTGAAATTGCCAATTGGAACAGTTATAACTTAATTATTTAAATGAAGGAAGATTAAAAACCCAAACACACAACACATATCATAATAAGTAGTTGCCTGTGTTGAATTTCCATAGAAGAATCGCTAATGTAAGAATTTCTCCTCAAGCCAGTTACCTGCAGTTAGACACAGGTCTCTGCTGTGCATCGTAGAGGAATGTAAAGTTTACATGGAGATAAAACAGCAACAACAGCGACATGGTACTATTTTGTGAAATGCTAACTAGGTTTTGTTTGTTTTTGAATGACAGTTTAAGATGTTTAAAAATTAATTTTATTCCTTTGACTGATTTTCTATGATTTTGATGTTCTATTAGCTTTCTCCATATATTAGTCTTGGAATTTTAATATCAAAGTTATTTTTTAATGAATACATGCAATTTGTAGTCTTCATTATTACTAATCACTTAAACATGGGCGATTTTTTCAGGCTACTTTTTAGAAAACGTAGAGGAGTTTGGTGCTTCTATGGGCTTTGCACTTGTGGGAGTAATAAGAGATCCAGACAGGGCCCAACTTATTGTTATGACATTACAATAACGATTGCTTCTCAGTTGTGGAGCACTTCACAGTTTACAGAGTATTTTTACATTTTCATTAAACTCTCACCTCACCCTTGGGAGGTAGTCATTATAGTTTCACTTTATAGATGAGAAAAACTGCAGGGCCGAGATGTCCAACACTGTCCAAGGCCACAATGGTGGACCTGGGACCCAAACCTCACCTTGTGCCTTCCAAGTTCTCCTTCCTTTGGCCATAGCTCTGGCTCCTCTGTATATATTTAGAGCTCTGGGCAGGCCCCCAAAGTCCTCTAGGCTTCAGCTTCCTCAACTGCACAATGATGACTTGGATTTGACCATCTCTCAGGTCCCTGCTAGCTCTTCTTCATTTTGAATTTGAGTTTATTCAGTAGAATGAAAAGTGATGGGATTCAGTAGGTGTCAGATGACTGAAGGGACACAATCCAGAGGCTTCCACAAAGTCCATCATGGTTGTTATGAAGTGGTAGGAACCAGGGTGGACTTTGATGTATAAGATCTGATTCTTAAGGAAGTCTCATAAAATATATGGACTCCACAAAGAAGAAGAAAAAAGGAACCTCTACACACAAAACATTTGCATATAATTTTAGGTGGTTTACAGACTGACTTGTAAGAGATGCATGGGCCAAGTTAACAACTGCTGGATTAAATAGTACACATGTACCCCATATTTTGGGGTCTATAGGAGGCCTCATGTTGGTTTTCATACAAAGTGAGCCAAACTTATTTTGACATGGGAACTAGTAATTGAAATATATGATTAGAAAAAATTATGGTGTGTTTTCAAGACATATTCCCCATGGAAAATTATGTTTCTGGTACTAATTTCTCAGTGGGGTAGGAGATACTCAATCAGGGTGGGGTAGGAGATACTAATCTTTCAAGACATATTCCCCATGGAAAATTATGTTTCTGGTACTAATTTCTCAGTGGGGTAGGAGATACTAATTAGGGTGGGGTAGGAGAAAGAAAAGTTGATGCAGCACAAATATAAGTATCTTCTTTAGAAGTACTTAAAGGCAATTCCACACCATTTTAATGCTCCTTTTGAATATCTTCAGAGCAATATTTCTGGTTGTGATTTTTGTGCCACATGCCCACAAGCTGTAGGTTTAGGTCTGACACCAGTGTCAGGACTTGGATAAAGAGTAGAAAATATGGCCCTCATAGATACCCACATTCCCTCCAAAGGGGAGAGGTGTTTTGCTTTAATTTCACCCTTTCATACCCCCCTGATATATATTTTTTCAGAACACAGGAAGAGCAAGATATCACGCAAGAATCTGAAAATTTAGATTGCCATAATATTATTCTGGGCTTTGGGAAGTCGAAAACAAAGGAGAGCTCTATGTTTTGACTTGTGGTGTTGAAAAAAATGATCCATACTCAGTGTGAAAGCCAGGTCCACTATTTGTACCCATTTATCAGAGCATCTAACTTCCTGTCTAGTAACTCCAAGTAATGTCTGCTAGTGCAAACTCCATCAGGTCTAGGATAAGTGCAGCCATCAGCAGTCCTGACGTACCACCTCAATAATACAAACCAATGTTTCTCATGGAATTGTCTGTAGGTTTTCACAGCATTTTTTCCCATTCTGCATGCCTAATGTTAAATTCTGTTAAAAAAATTTAAAACCAATTTTTTTTACAACTTACAAGTATTCATATAAGAAGAAAATGACTAAAAAATACCCACCCAAGCACCTACAACTCATCTAGTGCACAATGCTAATAACACACAGGCTGTGACCGAAGAACTCCGTGATCTGTGGGAAAGCAGGGAGGCGCATCCATCCTCTGGGAGAAAGTGAGACATGTTGATGCAGAGAGGAGCTGTCAATGACTCTTTGCTTCCTAAGTCAAGTTCAGCACTTGCATTTCAGAGTTGATGCCATTACTTATTTCGACCTGAAATAGAGAATAGGTATTGCTTTAAAGAACTTCAAAACTGAAAGCTAAATTTCCTTCCTAATCATTCAGGCTTTTCAAAATGCAAAATAGCTTGTGGGCGTGCCTTGTACAGCCTGTGTATAAGGCTGTAGCAACAAGGAAGGGAAAAACCTGAGCTTTTTGCTTCTCAGATTAGAGCAAGACACACAGATATGAACAACAGACTGCAGGACTGGTTTCCTGGGCTAGATGTGCCAACCACATAGCAACTGAGGAGTGATGGAAAGGTATTGCCTTTGGTTGCTGTGGGGTAAAGATGACAGGGTGGTATTGTCTCCAATCTACTAGATACAGCCCTAGCCTGGTCTTCCTACAGCATCCTGTTGGTTTCTCAAGAATCGTCCTCATCTGACTTTCATACCACCGAATCATTCATCTCATATACACCCCATCCTGTGATGGTTAATTTCATATGTCAACTTGTCTAGGCCACAGTACCGAGATATTTGGTCAAACACCAGTCTAGATGACTCTGTGAAGGTATTTATTAGATAGGGTTAACTTTTAAATCAGTAGACTTTGAATAAAGCAGATTCCTTCCATAATGTGGGTGGGTTTTAGTCAAGCCACTGCAGGCCTTAAGGGCAAAGACTGAAGTCTCTTGAGGAAGAAGGACTTCTGCCTCCGAATTCTGCCTTTGGGCTCAGGACTGCAACATCAACTCTTCCCCTGGTCTCCAGTCTGCTGGCTTGCCCTGCAAACTGCAGACTTGCCAGTCTCCACAATCACGTGAGAAAATTCCTTAAAATCTCTTTCTATCTGTCTATCTATCCATCCGTCTGTCTATCTGCCTCCCTCCCTTCCTTCCCTTCCTGTCTCTCTAGACACAGACCTAGACATTTATATCTAGATCTAGATACACATGCTATCAGTTCTGTTTCTCTGGAGTACACACTGTCATTTCCCATCATTCTGGTCTCCACTTGTTTGACAAAGATTCTGTGCATATTCCTGATTTCATATTAGGTGAGGGTTTTGGCTTATGCACCTTCACACAATATTAACCTCAACACTGTCTGCCACATAGCTGGCACTTAAATATTTATTGAGTACTTTTGCTCTTGTTTTTTCTCTCAGGAGAAATGTCTTAGCTGATCTAAATCCTATTCATCTTTGAGGTTCAGTTGAAATTTCTTCTCTGTGAAGACTTCAGCTTCGATCTCAGCTGCTTTGCTTTCTCATCTGCTAATAGCAACTCCTATGTAGCAGCTGCACCCCATGTGGAGCTAATGGCATTCCGTTCACAATTAATTTTGCTCTGATTGGTTCACTCAGGTTTGTAAGTTTTCTCCTTCCCATTACATGATGAGCCTCACACCAGCAGAGAATGTGTTTTACACTTATGTTATACCCCTGCCTAGCAACTGTCTTCCATTAACTCAGTTCAACAACTCTCTCTATGGTGTGGAATGGACTTGTTAGTCATAAATTGAAATAGCTGAGAAAATTTCCAGTTTTCCAGTTTCACTCCCTGTAAATTCTGTACCCTCCTGCACTACTCAGGAGCTGGAGTTCTTCTGTTCTCTCCCTGTCTTCCTCCCACCTCTCCTCACTTCTATTTCTCTACATTCCGGCAGACAAAGCCCAATGTTTACCCCTTTTACTTCACAGTAGTTTAACAGGGATTATTATTATTTTTTTTTTTACTTTTTGTAAATTTTCTGTTAATCTGCACCTAAAAAAATTTTATTTTTAAATTACAGTTGACATACAATATTATGTTTCAGGTGTATATCCACTGATTGAACATTATATAACTTACTAAGTGATCATCCCGATAAATCTAGTACCACCCAGCACCATACATAGTTATTACAATATTATTAATGGTATTCCCTATGCTGTACTTTACATCTCCATGACTATTCTGTAACAATCAATTTGTATTTCTTAAACCCTTCACCTTTTTCACCTATCCTCCCTTCACCCAGTTCCCCAACACCCCTCCCCTCTGGCAACCACCATTAACAGGGATTTAAACTAAAAGATAAAAAGATGAGATGAGAGTGGTGGAATTTTTGTAGTTCTCTACAACCCTCTAGTTAGAAGGGAGGTTCAAGGTCCTGAATTTTTCTCATCCATCCACCAGGTAAATCCCTTCTAGAATGGGGATAAGGCCGTAGGAGAAGGTCTTTCTCTTTGTTAGTGATAGTATTAGTGGGGGCTTGGGAAACTTCTAGGTATCTGTTATATTTATCTTCAATGTTAGCTCTGCTTATAGCTAATATTTTCTGTGTTTGGGCTTCAGCAGCAAGGATTGGTAAAGCAGGGAAGAAAACTGAGTCAGTTCCTATGATGCAGGTAGGAATCCTGGAGGGTTACCCCAGGCAGTGGGAAATAGGTCTGCAAGGAGTTTTCCAAGAAGACAGTGAAGCAACTTTGAGAGGCGGTATTAAAAGGAAAGCTGGCTCAGCTGGCGTGGCTCAATGGTTGAGCATCGACCTAAGAACCAGGAGGTCATGGTTCAATTCCAGGCCAGGGCACCTGCCTTGGTTGTGGGCTCAATTCCCAGTGTGGGGCATGCAGGAGGCAGCCCATCAATGATTCTCTCTCATCATTGATGTTTCTAACTCTCTCTCCTTCTTCCTTCTTCTCTGAAATAAATAAAAATATATTAAAAATATGTTGTATCTCTATTAAATAAATTAATTAATAAAAGGAAAGGCAATCCTACCTTAGGTTTTAGTAACAGATTGATTTTTAAAAATCAAACAAACACAGAAGTAGAGAGAATGGCATTATGAATCCCTATGTACTCACCATCCAGCTTCTACTAAAATAAAAATTATGCTAATCAAGTTTCATCTATCCACCACAACTGTTTTTTTTTGTGTGTTTTTTTTTTGGCTAGGGTATTTAAAAGCAAATCCTAGACATGATGTCACTTAATTCATCAATACATATCTATGATTCTCTAACTTAATGATTCTTAACCAGGGGACATTTGCCAATTGGTTGTCACAATTTGGCTGTGTGTGTGTGTGTGGGATGCTACTGGCATCTAGTGGGTAGAGGCCAATGATGCTGTTAAATATCCCTAAATGCACAGAGCAGCCACTACAAAGAATTGTCTGGTCCTGAGATAATAGAGCTGAGGTTGAGGAATAATGCTCAACTGATGAGAATTTCTTTTTCTTTTGTTACTTATTGATTAGCATACCTATCAAAACAGGCAACAATTTCTTAACATCATTTACTATGCAGTCCATATTGACATTTCTTCAATTATCTAAAAACATCTGGTGTGGCCGCTGCACTGTCGGTGGCATCATTCCTTCCCAGCAAGGACAGTGCGCCTCAACTACTAGTACCGACTGCACGAGCCACAGAAACACAGCCATCTCACTGCTACTTGGTCAAATGCGTACACTTTAGGGTGCGTTCTGACATAGTCCCTAAAATGGTATAGTCATTTCCGATGCTGGATCAAAAAGTTACTAATACCAGTGACAAAGGGAAAGCCTCCCAAGCGAGGGAAAGCAATGAGCCCCCTTTGTGCTAAGTAAGGCGGCATGCGGGGAAGCCCCTTTCCTTTGGGACGCTAAGAGGGCGCCCAGTGCATCACAGTTGTAGCGCTCCGGCTCCGCACTCCTGAGACAGCCCTGGAGCGTTAATGCCTCTGTAAGTGGCTCCCTTTCCAGAGCCCGATGGAAGCCCTCTGGCACAGGACTCCACGCTCAGTGATGGGAAGTTGAGCCAGCCTTGGCCGTGAGCAGATTATAGACACCTTACTCTGCATGTGACGGGGGACAGACAGCACGGATAGATCAATACGGAAGTGGGAAAGCCAGTCGAGACAAACAGAAACGGGATAAGGACGGAGAGCTATCACTTCATTAGTCTTTAGGCGCTTGGTCAAAAAATGGAGTGATGGGGTGGATGCAGGTCATAGGCGGCAGGTCCTCCAACTAAGTTTACTAACACATTGCTGGCGGTTACCGGATTTGAAGGTAGTGTTGGAAAGCACAGCATTCTCATCTCTCTCCACCTCCTACACACACACACACACACACACACACACACACACACACACACGCCTCTGATTTGTCCTGGTTTTTAATCAAGATGCTGTAAATGCAAAATGGCTTGGGCCCAACTTACAGGGACCCTGCAGCCGGTCATCAGAGGTCCATTTCCTCTGGGACCGGACTATTGGAGGCAGAGGACCGGCAGGGAAGGTCCTGGTGGGCGCTGCCCGCAGAGCTGCCTGGAGTGAGGGCCAGCCTTCTCTGCCTCCTAGTCCTTATTACAGTGGCAGACACTCAGCAGAAGCCACAGAGCATGGAACAATTTTTATGAAGAAAAACTAGCCTCCAGCAAAGGCAATCAGACAAGTGCAGATACCAGAGAAAAGCCAAGTTCTCATTTGGAAATGCTAGAAAAGATAGGCTCACAGTGGGGGGAGGAGCTTTTTCTCATGGAATCTTTCTGCATAGCAGCCGGGGCATCATCCTCGTGGGAATCTCTGACATCACCAGATCGCTTTACCTCTACTGGGGATCGCAGTTCTGAAATCCACAGCTGTCTTTCGTTGATAAACTGCCTTGGTCTAATTATCCCTATGGAAAGAATGACTGCTTTTTGAAACTTAGTTTTCCCACTACCTGGTCGCTATCCGTTTTGCTGATTTTGACAAACTTTAAAGTAATTTAGTTGCTCATTATGATGCTTCCTGATAGCCCACATCTCTTTCATAGCTGCATGGGTTAGTGCCAAGCTGTTGTTCATCTTGAGAGGTAAATCTGCTTTAGTAGATCCCTCCCCCTCCTCTCCACCACTACTATTGCCTCCACCACTGCTAAACGCTAGTTGCTGTGTAGGTCAGTGATGGCGAACCTTTTGAGCTCGGCGTGTCAGCATTTTGAAAAACCCTAACTTAACTCTGGTGCCGTGTCACATATAGAAATTTTTTGATATTTGAAACCATAGTAAAACAAAGACTTATATTTTTGATATTTATTTTATATATTTAAATGCCATTTAACAAAGAAAAATCAACCAAAAAAATTAGTTCCCGTGTCACCTCTGACACGCGTGTCATAGGTTCACCATCACTGGTGTAGGTGTTCCCTTCAAAGCCACCACTGACCACATTGCTGTGTGCTCTAATGACCAGAGCAGCCCTTGCTTCCCACACCCCTCCCCTAGAAGCTGGCATCAGTGTGTGGTAACAGCAGTGGAGGAGATCCTGGTGAAGACCCAGATTGTAGTTATGTCAAGAGTTACAGCCCCTCACTGGTGGCCGTGGCAAGGTGATGGGCCCCAGCACAGGCTACCCCTGACCTGTGTGTCATAGCCCAAAGCCAGACCCAGAGGACAATCACAGAAAGCATCTCTATTGCTTTAGGCAGAAAGACAGACACTGTTGAGAGGCAGAGCAATGGAGGTTGAGGCTCTCAAGGTCTCCCCACCCGGGGCCCTCAAGATCCCTGCTCAGCTTAAACACCTGCTTCCTCGTAGGTTCGCTCAGGTTCTGTGAGATCTATGCCAAACGCCAGATTGGACAGTCACAGATTTCAACTTTAAACTCTGAGGAACGGCCAAGCAAATTAGCCTCCATTTTCTTCTGCTTTTCATAAACTCCTCATCATCTTTCCAAAGTCATCTCAGTGACTTCTCTCCCTACGTGAGAAGTAAATAGTCCCCCTTCTGCAAAAGATTGCCTGGGGGACATTGTTTTGTATCTACTTATTCTACGTAGGTCTCTTCTTCTAGATCATTGGCCACTGGTGGTCAAAACTCAAATATTACTCATCTTTATGTCTACAGCACCCAGCACAGGCCCTAACACACACACTTTATAAATAATCAATAAATAGCTATATATGGAACTAAACCAATTTATTTAATCAGTATGCCTCGATTGCTTGATATCATTACCGTAAAGAGTGACAAAGCATGAAAGACCAAATTCATATGTGAACTGCCTCACTTCTGTCATCTCATCCCCACACACGTGTCCCTACACAATCTGACTGTGGGTCCTGGAAAGGTCCACTTTATGACGACGAGCAGTGACACAATCATACACGAGACTGCAGGCTTCCTGTGTAAGTCTGCAGCATTACCTGTGCATGGACTGTCTGGACCTACTCATCTAGAGTTGAAAGTTACCCATCCACACACATGTGCCTCAAGATTCTCCTGATCCCCTTAACAAAGTGGCTTCCTCATAAAACCTGGCTTTGTACTCCATGGAGATTACAGATTTAAAGTTACAAACCAGTATTCATTCCCCTCTCTAACAATTTAGTACAGAAGACTGGCTTTTTCTCCAATCTGTTGCTGGGTGGTGATATGGCATCACTGAACTGGGTACAACAGAATCCAATATAATGAAACAGCTGATTGATGCCAACTGGATACACTGTGGAATATTTGCGTACCTGTGGGGAGCACACACTGACTTTTTAAATGGCTTCATGCGCAGTGATTTTAATTCAGGTTTAGTTTGATCTTTCAGATTCCTGCTCCCTTCATGGTTGAAAGGCATTCCATATTCATCTGATAGAATAATATGCATAATCTGTCAAGGCAGAGACCTGTTCCATTATTCTCTGCAGCCTGTAGCTTATGCTACATTCAGCTACAAAGGTGTGAGGGTTCAGCAGTGAACAGGTGGTTGGGGAAACTCTTTGAGGAGGTAGTGGAGTCGATCAAAGCCTTTTAGGTAATCTTAAGAGGATGTTTCATGTGTTCTTGATTCACAGAGATGGAAGGAACCTTAGGGAGCATAGATGGAAGTCACTTGCCTCTGGGCCATGACAGTTAACATTCTTTGAGCTACATGGATGCACACATGTCATTCATGAAAGGAGATTCCATTGTCAACATTATTATTCAACTGCAGTTTTAAGTAACTTTCCTTAATAAAAAGATTTTCTTACATCTGACCAACATTTTTTGTATTACAGTTTCTCTGCTGAGTTACTTTTTTTCACAGTGGAGATGAAATAAATCATTCAGCACCTTCTTCCTGCATAACAAGCATATATAGGACTCTCCTCATCACCACCAGGCATTGTTTCAATTCTGTTCTCCCTTCCAATACACTGGTCATCTTTATTATCGTCACAATCCTGGCCAAGTTCCCCAAATCCACAAATGTCAATTTTTGCAATCCATTATTTACGAGCGCTCGGTAGCATGAGTAATGAGGTGGTGACTGCTTAGTCCTGGAATGTTATGTAGGGTGAATATTTTTCCAAATCGGATTTGCTTTAGAAAACCAACATTTATTTAAACATCTCTCATGTGACGGGCACAGTGCTGATTTTTGAACTATGTTTCCATTAGATCATTCTGCCAGAAGGAAATTAATGCAACTGGAGAGGTGGAGGAGCCAGTATGGGCTTTAGTCCCCAAAGAGGCCGGGTGAGGGCTGCAGATTTGGGCAGGAACCACCATGGCAAAAAGGCAGCAAATGAAGCCTTTCATACATGTTCCTTACACCAGTGACTGCTTTACATAATTTCCTCTATTGCCATGGAATTGCAGAGTACTAGGCTGACATACTAGGAAGGTCATCATAATAGCAAGTCCACAACATCAGGCATGGTGATAGTTTGCCATCCAGGAAAGAGCCCAGCTCCACCACCTAGTACTAATGGGACTTTGGAAAGGTTGTCTAATGTCTATGAACCTCATTTTCCTTCTTTGTGAAGTTGGGTATTAAGTGGTGCATTATAGTATTTTCACGAGGATTATGTGAGATAATACATGCAAAGGGCTGAGCCCATGATAGCTATTATTTTATGCAGTTATCTATTTGCTACTTAGGTTTTTGTAGGAATGGAGTCCCTGTACCTGTTTTCTTGCACTTTATCAACCAAGTCACCATGATTTCTTCCTAATACTCAACTGAAATCTGTCCAGTGTGAGGTAGCTTTTCTTGTGGTTGTTGACTTTCTTCCATGTCCTCTAGTGACAGTTAATCAAATATTTGAGTACTAGTCACAATCATAGGGCATTTTCCACCTACTATACATGGCTTATTGCATTTAATCCATCCTCTGTCCTCCCCCTATGAAACCACTATCCCACAGTGGTCCCATGAGACCTGGCTAGAGCCCTACCCCACTGTAACTCTGTTTATCTCTGAGAAATAGTTTGGCCTTTGGTTAATAGTTCCCTCCCCAGAAGGAGCCAGTTAAAATGTCCTAGACCAAGACAGCCATGGAATTGGCCTCCCGGAGACTTCAAACCTCTTGAGCATCACCACGATGACAACAGAAGGTGCCATAAAAGAACCAAAAAAGAGGCAGAATCCTGGTTCTGAGAAGACCACCACTGGTTTCCCCTTATCTGCCGAGACCACTCCTCCATTTCTCTCCTCCTCTATCCACATCTCTGAACCCAAGCCCATGAGAAATTGATCTGGGAGCTACTAGGCTCCCACTTCTTCATTCTCTGGTCATTGAGTTGCTAAATAAAGCTCATTTTCGGTTTCATAATTGGTTTTGCAACACCTAATGGACAAAGAACAGGCTTGGGGTCCCAGAAAGGGGGATTTTGGGCAACAAAATCATATTACAGGTGAGAGAACCAAGTCTCAGAGATATCAAAGAAGGCCCCTGAGACCACACAGGTAGAGCCTGGATTCTAACTTATTCTTTCTCCCTTTTTTCCTCAGTCATGTTGTCCACAAGACATATATTTAGTCTCTTTTTTTTGGTAGACTAAATAATCCCCTTTTCTCCACTTTGGCAATCAGCCTACTGATTTAAAAAATATGTATATCATTTTAGAAACATAAATCATGTTACCTATTTCAAATCCTTTTTGGAATGAATAATAATGATGATGTTGGGTTACATGTGAAAGGTGTGTTTTAAATATGAGTGGAAAACTAAACCAATGATTAGTAGTAGCAGGTCCAAATTATTTCAGGATTCGTTAGTTTTGACCAAGTTAGAAGGATTAATATTTTCCATCTCATGACACCTTTACTTACAGGTTAACAGGCTTTAACTGAACATGATCCTGGTAGTAGGAGTGTGCATCAAGTCCACCTATGAAATCAACTGAAAATATAACATAGCCCAATATGAATAAATGTCTAGATTAACACACACATCATAGTAGGTGTTTAAAATAGAACACATATAAATAATATTAACAAAAATACCTGTCTATCACAAAATGGAAAAACGTGTGCTTAATATAAAGGACAGCTCAAAATATTATCCATGGTTAAAAAATGGGGACATTTTAAGAAACACAAAGATGTGGGCATGTAGTGACTGAAAAATCACAGATGTTGTTGGTTTTAGTGAAAAATGAAGTCACATTAAAAAGCATTATATTTAAAATAATGTGTTTGTCCTTAGGCATAGAGCTATGGCCTTTCCCCTTACATATCAAAAACTGTATCTTCTCGTCTTGTTGCCAGAATCCATTTTATTCTTAAGAATATTTATTGCACTGTTAGAAAGAACTCTGAGAAGTCACATAATCTATGTCCATGCCTTCTTCCTCAAACCATCCTTGACAAATAGGCATCTGCCTTTTGCAAAGAAGTTTTCGTCTCCTCTCTGGTAGCACAGTACTTTCTCACAGTCTGCATAGAATCACTGTTCTTGTGATATTCGTTCTTTCTCCCTGTCTTGATCACAGCCTCTGTCTTTCTTCTCCGATCCTAATGTCCACGGCTAATGTTAGTTCATTATTTCTGTGTTTTTTTTTGTAGTTTATCACAAGTATAATTACTTTACAGCAAGCATTGGTTTTATTCTAGCACTCTGATGTTAGCAGGTACCCGGACACTTAGGGACATTGAACTCTCAGTGTGTGTGTGTGTGTGTGTGTGTGTGTGTGTGTGTGTGTGTGTAGATACACAGTATATGGGGGACATTAAATCATATCCTCAGCTCAAGACAGGCACTTCCGTGCACAGTGATTTAGAGTGAGATGACCCACTTAAGCTCTAGACACACTTGTCAATCGCTGATCTGCTCTATCCTTTGCCTCCACTGGAGAAGCTGAGGTGAGACTGGGTCCATTAAAGCTTCGCCAGAGCACAGTGCAGACAGAGCCTTGGGCGTCCTGTGGGGCACATAGCAACCAGGTGGGAAGACCCATTTCCAGGTAATCCCCCTGGAGGCCAGAGGAGCCTGAAGCTTATTTTTTTCCTACCACTTCAGGTCAGGTCAGTCCCCTGGACACCACCTTCGGAGAGAAGCAGTGAGAGGGGAGTCCATCTGAGACATGAAAAGAGTTTCCCAGGGAGAATAAGCAGTGCCTGAAGGGACCGTTTACATGGTCAAAGTTTTTTTTTTTTTTAAATTAGATTAGACACTTAATCAAACATTCACTTCTTCACCCTGCTGACCAATGAGTGAGAATTTTAAAGGAAGATAATATTGACTAAAAGTTGCACGAGCATATCATTGACAAAGGCACCTTTGAAAGTTAAAGAGGTTATTAAAAATAAACACATTTATAAACATGTACATTTATGAATAAATGATTCAATTAAAATTATATCCAAAATAAAATTATAAAAATAAAGACAGCATATATATTGTATGCACTGAAACAAAATAAAAAGCAAACTTTATATTGATTATTTGAATATTAGAATGTAACATTAACAGAATCATTACTTTAAGTATAAATTCATATACTGCTGTAAATCTACTCCTTAGCCATCTACATCTCTAACTCACCATATCACCGGTATTTTTGGGGGAAGAATATACATATAGTATATGTATATATATTCAATATGGTTTTATTAATTTCATAAATTTATTTACAAGATTACTCAAAATTTCTTTTTATTATTATTGTTAATTTTGAAATTAATGATCTCGATGACTGTGTAAATCATAATATCTTTAATTAAGGAATTTTGCCATTGATTGCCTTGCAGGGTATGGTTGCCCTAGATGACCTAATGATCATGGAGTGTGGGACACAAAAGCTGCAGCAAACAGCAGGCTGTTATTGATATTATTGATACATTTATCTTATTCTGATGACACATTCTCACAAACTATTGATTTCCAATATTTCAAAAGCCCTGTTTAGCTGGGGGTAATGATTTGCCAGAATTCCAACATTCTCTTCCCCCTCGTTACCAGAAGTCTGTCTGTCCTTGAGGAGCCTGTATTGAATTTGTGTCTAGTTTGATTTTCTCATATTTGGGAAGAGTAGCTACTTTGGAGGAGGGAAATTGATTAGTGCACCACATTTTGAAGCCTGAGGTTTCACCCTCTATGAGCGCATGAAGGAAAATAAGCGCAGTGGAAGCAGAATTTGTGGGGTTAAGTGTCAAGTAGAATTGAGGCTTGCCCTTTCTCCAAGGCTGGTGTTATTTCATGAGGTAGGTCCCCTTTGGGGCAAATGACCCACCCAGTGCTCACGTGACCCGCCTGAGTGCACACTCACGACCTGGCCAAGAGCACACATGACACTCTCATCACCATTTGTTTAGCTTTGACTGCAATGCTTTTATCCTCTACTCCTTTCCCCCCACAATAGCACAAACCCTGAGGGGAGATCGCTCTCCCTAAGATTTCTTTCAGGGAATATATCTCCTTTGTGCACTTTTCCTTTAATGTTTCTAGTGCTATTCCTTTAGTGATATCATTATTCTAGTTATTCTGTAAGGATCCCATGGACTGTCTTTAGAATTACATTCTTATGTAATTTTGTCTTCAATGCTTGTGTGGGGGAAACCAGGTTAGTATAGTGTCCCTATAGAGTGCTTTGTTAATAAGCAACTACCACTGTGACTTCTCCCTCTGACTTGCAAGAGTCATATCACATTGATAAAGATGCCTGTAACATATTGGCTCCCACATACACGTCTTAGTTTTTGTTTTCTCATATTTGGAAAGAAAGTAGCTAGTTTGTTTCCTCTTTTTTACTGGAATCATCTTTAATAGGACATTTTCTATTCTCTTTAAAGTTATTCAGCTTTCTTAAACCCATACACATTGTGCTCTATTTTCCTACAGGGGATATATGCTTAACCCTTCAGTTAGTGATTGGATTGAATGGCTGCTTACTGTGGTCACCTACAGTTTGCCTTTAATGAAGGCCCTTTCACAGTTTTTATAATTTTTCAATTACTGTCTGTTCAGAATCACTGGTGGCTAAAGGCCATTTTGTCACCACTGCTGGGTTTATTAGAGAGAAAATTTTATTCTAGAGAAAACAAGATTAAAAAAAAAATCCTGAACACACCTCTCGTTTCTATTTTTGAAACTCCCTTTTCATTGTCACTTGGCTACATTTCCAGCTTTTGTTCCTCTCCTGGGTTCAGGTCTGTAGAATCAGATTTTCCCATAATCAGTGCCGACAGTTTCTTCCCACTTAAACATTTCTAAGAGTGGATAATACTTAATAAAGGAATAATGAATTTCTAAAATCTCTTTGGGGTTAATAAAGCAGAATGGAATGGCTGAGAGGAAAATTTATGCTCAGAAAGGTAAGGGCTAAAAACAGTTTTATAAATTTGTCTAAACAGTTTATAACTTCTTCCCTATGTAATATATTTTTTCTTGGTTATTTAGCCCCCCCCCCATATATCTTTATTATTCTTACTTAAATCTAGCCAATGTTTTACTTTGCTCTATAAATAAAGTGACAAACATGTTGCCTTTGAAATCTCTCTATAACTCCTTTTTTACTGTCTACTTCTACAGTTTTAGATATTTCCCCTCTGACTATTATTTTCTCTTTTTGTTTTATGGCCTCTATTATTGTTTTAGGTTTTCCCTTTCCTAGTACAATCAACATACAAAAAAAGCCATTTCTTCTGAGATCTCTTTGATAAATCATTTCCTCCTTCTGTGAATTACTGCCCAAAGAAAATGGAATCTGATCATAATCTTCCCAAGATTAAATCCACTCATTGACTTCACATTATCTAGCAAAGCATCCCAACTGGTGTGACCTGAGTAGGTTCAGAGGTGACACGATATCGATTCTCTCATTCTTTGGAGTGTGTGTGTGTGTGTGTGTGTGTGTGTGTGTGTTCACTGAGCGAGGCTTAGGTTAGCTAGCCCACTGGGCCAGTCAGTTCTTTCTGAAAGAAAAGTAATTCATTTACCACAGAGTGCCTTATAATTGTTAGCGTTCTCTGTGAATGCCAAGATATTAAATAGATTGGGAGTCACTGCTGTAAGAATCCAAGATCCCTGAAAGACTGATCCTACCATTCACGTAGTGAACAGAACATACTCAACTACTCATCACTTCCAGTGTAACGCAGGTTCCCCCAGATCTCTGAATGTTCCACGGTTTCCCCAAGCTCCTTTGACATTCCTCCCCTCCCCCAGTATTTAAAATGCACTCTCTTTGTTCTCTTCCTAGCCATGTCATATTCTTCACACGTTCTGAGGAGCCATGCTTGGTGCCCCGAGACACAGTTAGCCTCTGCTTTTTTTTTCTGTGCATCTGATTCACTTTGTACAGACCATTATCTGCACTTCGTTCTTATGTAATTATTTACATGCCTGTCCCACTTACTAGAATGTAAGATCTCCGGGGAAAGGGACCAAGTCTTATTTTTTCTATATCCTTGTGGTCTAACACACAGAAGTCTTTCAATAACTGCTTCTTGCATGAATTAATCAATAAATCAACAAAATATTGGGCTATTTAAGCTTGTTTAAAGCTCTAAAGTGAACCACTAATATGCTAGCTCTGGACTAGAAATACTTTTGGATATGGACGGGTCACTGACTTCAGAACAAGAGGAGTTATGAGAGAAATGAAGAATCCCATCAAACGTTTAAATGTCTACAAGCATTGGCAACCTACGTAGAATAGAAAGAATATAGAATTCTGAGGCAATATGAATGAAAGAAGCAAATAGAATGGAATGCTAACAGAGTGTTGAAAGACAGGTTGACAAGTGCCTTTGAGCACATGGGAAGACATAAAATGTTTTAAAGAGTTAGCAAGTGTAAAACCAACCAAAAAGAAACTCTTAGTAGGAATAAATTCTTTCTCCTCAAATCTAATGTCATCCGAGTCCTGGTGTTGTGGGCCGCTGAATTAGTCACATTTG